TTTATACTAGTTCATTATACAATTACAATCATTTGGGTCGTGTCTGGTGAGATTTTTAAGATTAAAATTATATGTTCATTTTAAAATTTGTCTTATGACTGTCCTGTTGTAAGGCAATCTGTTACCTTGGCTTGTCTTATGACGGTCTCGTTGTGAGGTAATCTGTTACCTTGGCTTGTCTTATGACTGCCTCATTGTTAGGTAATCTGCCACCTTGTCTGAAAACCGCAGCCCCCGCCCTTCTTTCCCGCCCCAAGGGAAAGTTAGAAAAGAAACGTCGAATAGAGGCGCTTTTTTTAATTTTGCCCCCGGCCGCTTTGGCACTCCAGTCCACCACTGGTGGCCTCCCAGTCCACCACTGGTGGCCTCCCTTCCAGTCCACCACATGTGACCTCCTCTCCAGTCCACCACTGGTGACCTCCCCTCCAGTCCACCACTGGTGGCCTCCCCTCCAGTCCACCACTGGTGGCCTCCCTTCCAGTCCCCCACTAGTAGCCTCCCCTCCAGTCCACCACTGGTGGCCTCCCCTCCAGTCCACCACTCCGGTCCACCATTGCTGGCCCCCGTTTGCGCTTTTATACATTTAACTCTTTATTGATATACTACCATCTCACGGCGGGGAATTTTTGTATTAGAACCCCTGCAATCATTCAACCGACCTAATGCGCGTGTTGAAAGATGAAAAATGCGTTTTTCCATGTGAATAAAATTCGATGAACTCACTATTCAACCCATCAAACATTTCTTTTTTTTAACTCAATAATAACAATACATTTTTTTTATTCGTTCCACTAAGTCTGGTTTTATTAGTATTGTCACGCTGTTGTCACAAAGCCGTTACATAAATTATTTATAATCCAAAGGGTCTTACCACTGGGCTTATGGATCTGTCCGAACATCAATCGCGAGATGGACTTTGTTGTGTTGTTTGTAGGCACACTCGCCGAGTCGATGGGATTCAGACTTGTTAAATGTGTCTTCCCAGATTTCTTACTTCAGCGGTTCTAGGAATTTTTTTTAGGTGTGTCTTCGCGTATTTCTTACTAAGTGGTTCTTGGGCTTGTTTGATGTGTCTTCACAGATTTCTTACTTCAGCGGTTCTACGAATTTTTTTTAGGTGTGTCCTCGCGTATTTCTTACTAAGTGGTTCTTGGACTTGTTTGATGTGTCTTCACAGATTTCTTACTTCAGCGGTTCTAGGAATTATTTTTAGATGTTTCTTCGCGGATTTCTTACTTCAGCGGTTCTAGGAATTTTTTTAGATGTGTCTTCGCGGATTTCTTGCTTCAGTGGTTCTAGGAATTTTTTTTAGATGTGTCTTTGCGGATTTTTTGCTTCAGTGGTTCTAGGAATTTTTTTTAGATGTGTATTCGCGGATTTCTTGCTTCAGTGGTTCTAGGAATTGTTTGATGTTCCTTCTCAGATGTCTTCCCTCATGGGTTCGCAAGCTATTTAGTGTATAGTTCTCTATTGTTCTTTTTTTTTTCGTGAGTCATGTGCGTGAAACTTGAGGACCGAAACGAATGAAACCGTAATGGTGGGTGTTTGCAAATGTGGGTGGTCCTATTTTGAGATTCAAGTACCGATCACACGATCATGCAAAAGATGGACACATACTAATGTAAATATAATAGAGGCTGAATTTTCGGCCTAATACCATGAGGGTCGCAAAAAATCCTGGTCCTCCCCGGGCGGGGGCTGACGCTAACAACGCCACTGTGGGCAACCACAACGATATCACGGCTAAACCATTAACGGGGGAGCCGATGGGTAGTATCTGCACTCGTAGTCGTGTGAACACATTGCAGTGTAAATCTAACTAACGTTTGTTCCAGATCATGTGTTACATAGACCAGAAACGAAAAAGATTAAAGTTTCTTGCCCACACCCAACCCTCCCAAGCACCGCCACAGGGGGTCACTTAAATTAAGAAGAAAATTAGACGAAGGAACACATGGACGACTTCAGACTTTGAGAACCACCTCTGACTCGCTGCTCTGTTTATCCTTTTCAATCACTACGTCATGATGTAGCCACCTGACGCTAAGTCACGCCCCAGAAATGTGGGCCATCGCTCAACCCCACCTCCAACACACTCTCAAAAAGAAAATGAAACGAAGAAAAAAGTACCCCACAGAAACAACCAGGGCTCCCTTCACTATCAATCATAATGCCTCAAAGTAACAATAAGGGTTCTCATTACTATGAACCATAATGCATCAATGAAAAAAACAAGTGTTCCACTTCACTTTCAGTCAAAATACCCCAAAGAAACAAGTGTTCCACTTCACTTTCAGTCAAAATACCCCAAAGAAACAAGTGTTCCACTTCACTTTCATTCAAAATACCCCAAAGAAACAATTGTTCCACTTCACTTTCAGTCAAAATAGCTTAAAAAAGAGCAAGGGTTCCATTTCAATGTCACTCAAAATACCCAAAAAGAAAAAACGAGGGTTTCCCCTTCACTATCTGTCTCGAGCCTTCACTCCTGTCTCACCATTCATCTGCGACAACTGCTGTTTTCATCGACCTATTTACAGCAGTCGTCTGATAAGCTGCTGATCCATTACGGAATGACGTATCACGTCTCTCACACGGGCCCGTTGTTAGATTAGCTTGCGTGATTCGGAAGATAGGTGTACGATACACAAACATACAAACCTTTACTAAAACACAAACAAACCCTTACTAAAACATATACAAGCCCTTACTAAACCACATACAAACCCTTACTAAAACACAAACAAACCCTTACTAAAACATATACAAGCCCTTACTAAACCACATACAAACCCTTACTAAACCACATACAAACCCTTACTAAAACATATAGAAACCCTTACTAAACCACATACAAACCCTTACTAAAACACACACAAACCCTTAATAGACCACATACAAACCCTTACTAAACCACATACAAACCCTTACTGAAACACATACAAACCCTTACTAAACCACATACAAACCCTTACTAAACTACATACAAACCCTTACTAAACCACATACAAACCCTTACTAAAACATATACAAACCCTTACTAAACCACATACAAACCCTTACTAAACCACATACAAACCCTTACTAAACATATAGAAACCCTTACTAAACCACATACAAACCCTTACTAAAACACACACAAACCCTTACTAAACCACATACAAACCCTTACTAAACCACAAACAAACCCTTACTAAACCACATACAAACCCTTACTAAACCACATAAAAACCCTTACTAAACCACATACAAACCCTTACTAAAACACACACAAACCCTTAATAGACCACATACAAACCCTTACTAAACCACACACAAACCCTTACTAAAACACACACAAACCCTTACTAGACCACATACAAACCCTTACTAAACCACACACAAACCCTTACTAAACCACATACAAACCCTTACTAAAACACACACAAACCCTTACTAAACCACATACAAACACTAAAAAAAGTGTGGGCGTGGTACAGTGGGATCAAGATAATACAATTCTATTTGTAAAATGTTATTAAAAAACGTTACTTTTTATTTATTTCATGGTGTTATAATTTTTCATGTGGACTTCCACTACTCAAAGTATTTAAGGTTTAAGACATTGGGTGGTAGGGATGTGTTTATGGACCTAAAGGGGGCGGTGGCAAAAAAACAACAACTCACTGGTGTAGAGTTTGTAGTTCAGCCACTGACATGATTATAAGTAAATATTTAAGAAATGAAAGGAAAAAAAAAACGCACTTGTTGGAGTGCGCATTTGGACTATGAAGACTCCTTGGGGTTGTATGGGCTTTGCTCGATATCACGTTATGAAATTGAAAATTAACAGATAGAGGATACGCTAACGTAATGTCAACCCAGGGAGGCGTGGCTAGGTTAAGTGCAGCCCAGGGTGGTTCGAGGTTTTTTGCTGCCCACTTCCGCGACGAAAGCCTCTGCAGTCGCCCGAAAAATGGCGGGCATTGATATAAAGTTAAAAGTTCCGCCAGGGACGGACCGCCCCCCCCCCACTCAGCCCCCCCCCCACCGTTCCTACGCCGCTGTATCCAAACCCTTCAACCAACACGATGGCGTTCAGCTTTCTGCAGTCCCCCGAAAAATGGCGGGCATTGATAAAAAGTTAAAAGTTCCCCCAGGGACGGCCCTCCCCCCCCCCCACTCAGCCCCCCCCCCACCGTTCCTACGCCGCTGTATCCAAACCCTTCAACCAACACGATGGCGTTCAGCTGATTCTTACGAACAATTACATATCCAGTTTCTTATTTCAGATACGTTATGTTTTATAAACCAAAAGAGAGGGTTAATTCTGATGACATGACTTCAGCGTCTTGTTATGACTTTCCGAGTCTTGTGATAGAATCTTCGTCTGCCAATGATTTTCGAGTCGTGTCATTGCTGTGATTTCTGAGGCCTGTTGTAATTTCTGAGTCTTGTGTCATGATCTCAGTGCCTCGTTAAGGTTTCCGAGTCGTGTTATAATGTCCGAGTCTTGTTATAATTTCTGAGTCTTTTTATGATTTCTAAGACCTGTTAAAATTTCCGAGTCTTGATTATAATGTCTGATTCTTGTGATCGTTTCAGAGTCCTTTTATGATTTCAGTGTCTCGTGAAGATATTTTTAGTATTGTTATGTTAGTTGGGTGCTGGGTGGCCGAGCGGTCTGAACTGTCTCAAACCAAATGGCTGGTGGTCCGGAGCTCAATCCCCACCAAAGTCAACATCTCAAGCACTCCGGGTGGATGGGACTCGCTAGCCTTGGACGGCAACCCATCTAAGAGAAGGCAAACTCCGAATTTAAACCAGGAGCCAGAATGATCAACAAATTGATCGTGGGCGCCTTAAATCATATCCAAGCGTTGCTGGGATGTCGGAGACCTAAACCATTTGGTCAGAGATTAACTCAAAACTTTGTAGCCGATAAATCCCTTTATTCAATACCGTTATTAATATTATTATTATTTTAATATAACGATTGTTTTTGTGTTTTTTTAAAAAAATCTCGTTCACAATCGAATATCAAAACTCTTATCATTCTTCAATGGGAACAAGATATATTTATAGGACGACTTCTAGCGTTGTAGACTTCGTATTACAACAAGGTAATGTGTCTATCCATATACAGTACAAAGTACATCCAAGAAATTAAAAACAACCCAACCACACAGAAGTAATTGATGTAAAATGTATTGATGATTTTTCAATTGGAACAGAATTAAACACGTACCTAAATAGAGTATTGACTTATGTAAGAGTTAAACAACCCCTGGAAAAAAAGAACAAGTTTTTCATGTAAATCCTTTGTTAAATGTCGTAGCGAGCAGTGGGGAGTGGGACTGAAATTTAGTAAGAATGCGTTGTCATCGGCAACGATGTCTATGTGCCAAGTTTCAGTTCGATTGATTGACGGGAAGTGGGTCAATTGGCCAGCCAGAAACACACGAACAAAATCGAAGTTAATATAAAGGATTAAATATGTTTTAAAAAAAAAAAAAGCACTAGCAGCTGATTTTTATTTTAAAATACGTTTCCAAACTCTCCAACCCTTGCACTCCTAATCATCTCCATTGATGATCCATAAAATCTGCCTCAAAGATTAAATAATCAACTAGTGGCGTATAGTCTAGTAAGTTTAGACATTTTGCTCTCTCTCTCCCTCACTTGACCAGAACGCTCTGTTCCATGTGTCGTTTACTTTTTTTAAAGGGAATGCCCGTGTTCTTGACTAGAATAGAAACAATGAGCCCCCCCCCCCCCCACCACAGCAGGGATGGACAAAGTATCAGGTAAACTTTAATGTTTTTATGATTTACAATTTTGGGGGTAAGGGGCGCCAGATGTTAAGTCACATAAGCTAGGGACGTCACCGCCAACAAGGGTCACCATGTTAAATTAAAATGCAATGTAAACAGCCCCCCCCCCCCAAGCTAAGTGTCCAGTCAATGTTAAATTGTTTAGTTTAGTCAGGGCCGGATTAAGCCATCTTGGTGCCCTAGGCGCAAACCCACATGGGTGCCCTAGGCACAAACCCACATGGGTGCCCCCTACTGCTGCCCCGGGCCCCCGATCCTCCACTGACTACTGGTATGTTCCATATTATGCAAAAAAAACTAACAAAGACAAACAGTTGTGACATGTAAACACATACGTTTGTGGTACTATCACTCATATAAAACCTACAATAAACTGTTTAGTATCGATGCTGTGTGTTCTGTGAGGATTTATAAGGCGTGTCCAGCGCGTACGACTGGTTGGGAATGCCAGACATGGTCGAGTGGATGAATTCGCTGCCCTTCGGCACGCACATGGTCCCCACGCTCATCAGCACCAACCCCCCACAGGCCACCGCGGTCAGGTAGAAAGCCCACCCATGTTCGCCGCTGGCTACCCCAACGTCGAAATCGTCATTTTTGGTCCACACCCCGTAGGAGATGACAGCGCCGACACCGGCTAGTCCGGCCAGCAGGGACAGGACGCCCACGGGGATGACGGAAGGGCTCCTCGAGTTACAGGCGCTGATGACGCTGCCGACGCTGATCAAGATGAAGAGAGTCGACACGGCCGCCAGGATGCGAGCCGCACAGAATCCGGTTTCTGTTGTGGTCCAAGAGACGACTTCGCATTTGTAGTCTGTCGTCAAGGAACTTTGGCCGCAGCCGAAGATCAGACCGCGCTCGACAGACAGGCTCGCAATCTAGGTGAAGATATTAAGATTTGGTGAGGAAAAAAAGCGCATGCTGATTACAAGCCCTTTTGACTGAGATGAAGGAGAAGTTACCAAAGACCATCAAATTAAAAAAAAAAAAGCTGACTTAATGGCCTACATACTTGAGTGTTGGCGTCGATTAGGACTCCCTTTTAAGATATCCTTGATGCAATCTCCCCCTCCCCCACTCCGATCACATTATCTTCCGCCCTTACTAGAGTCCCCCCCCCACCCCCTTTTCCCCTCACATTCGCGCACACTTCCCAGGTGCGTTCATACTTTCAGCCACCCCTCTCCCATGCAATCCCCAACCCTTCAGTTTTTATCAAATTACATGAATCTAAAGATGAGATTTAAGCCTCGAGAGGTTTGCTGTTTAGGAACCTGGTAAGTATTCGATTCAGAAAAGGAACTACTTTAGGATCCTGACCTGGCTCAACGGACCAGAAATAAGTTGCAACACATCCTGCCTCTTCCTCACGTACTTTGTTGCGGCCACCTGAATGAATGCATTGGTCATACCCTCATTATACCCTATAGGTGATATACTCTAATCATATCCCATTCATGGTGTACCCTCATCATACCCAATAAATGGAAGACCCTTCCCACACCCCACAGACCGTATACCCTCATCATACCCCGTAGATGGAAGACCCTCACCACACCCCACAGACCGTATACCCTCATCATACCCCATAGATGGAAGACCCTCACCACACCCCACAGACCGTATACCCTCATCATACCCCATAGATGGAAGACCCTCACCACACCCCACAGACCGTATACCCTCATCATACCCCGTAGATGGCATACCCTCATCTGAACCCCGTATTCATCAAGCTTACAGGTATGTGCATGTCTATGACGCTCCAAAATGGTGCAATGAATCCGGCTAATGCCACAAGGTAGCCGATGGTCAGGACGCCGAGGCACGCCCTCTGGGCACCGGACAAAGACATGGCGGAAGTTGTCATGAACGACGCGGCTCTACCTGGAGAAAAGAGGGGCGGGTCGGAAGGAAAATAATAAGAGGGGGAAAAAGTTTAATTTAAAAAACATTTTTTTTAAACTGCTTCTATTTAGAAGTAGAAAAGTCTTGGCTGGTGGTTATGTATGGTGAACATACATTTCTTTTTAGTTTTCTTCTTATACACAGCTGTTATTTACTAAATAAATGTATGCTACTTTTTATGTCAGGATTATGTTTGATAATATTTTTATATACAATATAATACAGCTCTAGGCTGGGGTAGCGCGCTATGTAAGACTACTACTACTACTACTAACTATATATAATTAATATCTATATATCTCTGGTTTACGCTTGGTAAATGTTTCCTATTTCTCAGACTCTAGATGAGACTTCTATGAGCTTCATACACCCTGTATCATTTTTATAAGACTGTTCAATTTCATATTCATTAGTTTCACAATTTTGTTGTCACAATAATGTAACCCCTGTGTGCAACAAGCATGTAAATCCAAATTTAAAATTTGAATTTGGAGTATTGGTGGCTCTCAAGTGTCCAAGCTCTCTATACCATACGCCGGCCTTTAAACATATACTCTATACTAATTATTATTATTGTTCGTCCGTCGAGGATCGACGAGGACCATCTGGTGACTGATGACTTGCGCGGATGACTTTGTTTAAAGTGAAGAAGAGTTGCGCGGCGTCTACCTCACTCTCTCGTCCGAGCCCACCAATATCCAGTGGCAAGACTCTACGTCAAGACGACCAGGGATGGGTTCGGTTGCAGGAATTATCATTGTTTGCGCCTTACGGGACTCCGACTCCGGTTTTGAATTCAGAGTTTCCTACTCTTAGATGAGTTGCCGACCAAGGTTAACGAGTCTCATCCACCCGGGGTGATGTTTTTGCTTGACTGGTCTTTGGCTGGACTTGAACACCACCAACTTGAGGTTTGCTCAGTTTAGACCATTTGGCCACCCAGTCACCATCTATACTAATACGCCTGCAGACAGTCCTACACCCTACATTCTGGCCTTAAACACTAGGTTTACAGGCATTCCTACGGACAGACCTACATCATACCCGTGACTCTTTATTCATTAATATAATAGCCACCCCTCCCCCCCCGGCCCCTTACACACAAAAATATTTCAACCTTCTTTTTTTTTATTTTTTTTTACCCGAGTTCAATATAAGAGCTATAAAATTCATGATTTATAATCATCCCTTTAAAAAAAAAAAATAATAATTATGTACGTGGTAACGTGGGATCAAACTAATAAAATTCTATTTGTGAAATGTTTTTTAAAAAAACCCTTTAATTTTACAATTATTTTAAGGGGTTTAAGACATGGGGTTGTGGGTGGGGGATGTGTTTATCGACCTGAAGGGGGCGGCGAATGAAAAAAAACCAACCCAACCCCCACCGGGGTAGAGTTTGTAGTTTAGCCACTGACATGATGATAAGTAAATATTTAAGAAATGAAAGAGAAAAAAACTCAACCGCACTTGTTTGAGTGCACATTTGGGCCATGAAGACTCCTTGGGGTTGTATGGGCTTTGCTCGATATCACGTTATGGACTTGAAAATTATCAAACATATTTTCAAGGTGCTCACAATTTTGATCAAACTTGCGGCGATAGCAGGCCGATCTGGCACTGTCTAGTTATCGTATTCATCAACCTTAAATTAAGTGCACAGCCAAAATCGAAGACGGCGTTAGGTTTTGAAATTTAGGATTTAGTGACTCTTGTTCCCAATTAATCTCTTTTTTTTGTACATTCCCTCGCTTTTCTCACAGACATTCGAATTATTACAGAAGATGCAACATTTGCTTTATCCGCCAACATTGACCAAAATTTAAAATTTAACAAACAACAGCAATCGAACTTGAATTCTTACATAATCTTACGCTTATACGTTACGCGAGTTGACTGTCTCTTGTGACGAATGTTGTATTTGAATAGTTCACTTCAATTCAGTTTGATAAATAGTTCGTCCGTTATCAGCATAGGCATTTTAATTGGTTGTTTCATACCCTCACCTCCCCCCCTGAACATTCCTATTAAAAAAACTATTATTTTGTCTCAGAATGAACACTACTAGATCTAAATGATGGATTAAGTGTTGAACGTCTTATTTTTAATATATATATATATATATATATATATATAAAAGTTGTTTAAGTGTCGTAAATGATCACAATAAGTGATCCACACTCTAAATAGTAAATAGTCTTCACTTACGTAATGTCTCCCAAACACCGGCACGCTAAACGTTGAATACACTGGGATGTCTCCTGCGCTCTCGGTTGCTGTTTAAACGCAATGTGCGGATATAGAATCCGAACTCAGCGTACCGATCGCAGTTCTAAAATAGTCCGGCCTGCTATCTGGTCCCGTGAAATGGATAAGACAGAAGAGTTTATCGCCGACTGTGTGTTGTTGTACAAGATATTATCAATGATACGCCATAACCCACATTTGATAACAAACTCTATTGTCCGTAATCGATCAACAATCATTGTGTTCCCATTAAATAAATGACGACTGTCCTCTTGAGTGGTTTGAAACCACTGGCCCGCTTGAAACCACTGGGTCCGCTTGAAACCACTGGGTCCGCTTGAAACCACTGGGTCCGTTTGAAGCCACTGGGTCCGCTTGAAACCACTAGGTCCGCTTGAAGCCACTGGTCCGCTTGAAACCACTGGGTTCGCTTAAAAACCACTGGGTCCGCTTGAAACCACTGGATCCGCTTGAAACCACTGGGTCCGCTTGAAACCACTTGGTCCGCTTGAAACCAATGGGTCCGATTGAAACCACAGGTCCGCTTGAAACAACTGGGTCCACTTGAAACCACTGCGTCCGCTTGAAACCACTGGGCCCGCTTGAAACCACTGGGTCCGCTTGAA